GGATGAGGGAACAAAATGTAACATCTCCAAGTTTGTAGATGACGCCAAGTTGGGTGGGACGGTGAACTGTGATGAGGATGCAGAGATCCTTCAGCATGATCTGGATAGGTTGGGTGAGTGGGCAAATCAATGGCAGATGCAGTATAATTTGAATAAATGTGAGGTTATTCACGAGAAGCAAAAGTGAGAAGGCATATGAATGGCTGAAATGGCTGTAAATTGGGAGAGTGGAGTGTTCAAGACCTGGGTGTTCTTGTGCACTAGTCGCTGAAGGTAAGCATGCAGGTACAGCAGGCAATAAAGGCAAATGGTATATTGGCCTTCATTGCAAAAGGTTTTGAGTACATTAGCAGGGATGTGTTGTTGTAGTTATACAGGGCCTTGGTGAGGCCACACCTAGAATATTGTGTGTAGTTTTGGTCGTATTTTCTGAGGAAGGATGCTCTTGCTCTCACGGGGGTGCAGTGAAGGTTTATCAGGCTGATTCCGGCGTTGGCAAGACTGATTGTTTTCACTGGATTGTTTGGGATTGTTGGGATTGGGATTGGGATTGTGATTGTTTTCACTGGAGTTCAGATGATTGAGGGGGTTTCTCATCGAGACTTAGAAAATTCTAACAGGACTAGACAGAGTTGATGCAGGAATGATGTTTCCGATGGTGCGTATGTCCAGAGCCAGGGGTCACAGTCTGAGGATTCGGGGTTAACCATTTAGGACGGAGATGAGGAGACCTTTCTTCACCCAAAGAGCGGTGAGCCTGTGGAATTAATTACCACAGGAAGTAGTTGATGCCAAAACCTTCAATGTATTCAAAAGGTGGTTAGCTATAACGCTTCAGGTGAATGGGATCGAAGGTTATGGGGAGAAAACAAGACTAGGCTGTGGAGTTGGACCATCAGCCATAATTGTGATAAATGGTGGAGTTGTCTCAATGGGCCAAATGGTGGCCTCCTGCTCCTATCTTCTATGTTTCTGTTTGTATGTTTCTAAACTTAATGAGTGATTTGGACCTTGTCTAGGCATAATGACTTTACCATATTCCCCTTCAAATGAAAAGGAATTTGTAGAAGAATCAAGCTGGCCTTGTAACAAGAAATTGAACACTACAGTGGAATCTTGTAACACTTAAAGGTTTGGGGCAAGTAAAAATTTACATTGAGTTAATCCTTATAAATTGTCCAACGCATTTAATAAGGAGGATGCATATGTGAAGACACCTGCTGTAGTTGGTGGATACCGTATATAAAAGTGTACAGATGTGTGCATGTGTTCCTGTACATATGGTAGCCTTGAGTGAATCAACATTTTGTCCACTACTGTATATCTGTCTGTTCCACCATATTATCCCTGGCCAAGCTCTCATTCCCATCAACTACCATGCTTTAGTTGAAGCTGTTTACTTGAATGGAACTTTTCTAATTGAGAGAAAAGAAATAGATACCATAAGAGCTATGTTGGAGAGGAGAATCTAATGTACAAAAAAGATTGTGACCTAGATCGATTGGAATTTCTGCTGATAGTTCTTGAGTAAGTCACAGGAAAGGAAGATTGTGCACTAGGTTGAGGTGCTGGCAATTTCTGGCTTTAAAAGTAGTGCAATTGGGAACCGACTTGCAGTTTCATAACGAGAGAAGAAAAAAAGATGAAGGACCAGCATTTACTGGAGAGGTCACCTGATGCTGTGCCCCTTCAGATGTGGTCCCAATTCCTTCAATTTCACAATCTCTACTCGACAAAGATATTGTTTTTGCTAAGCTAATGGAGAAGTACAAAATGGCTAGCAACATGTGATTTGCTAATCTTGAGGGAACTTAACCTACCACAAGTTGCAGGTTAATGGACATACTGTTTTCAAATTCTGGCTCATATTTTCAGGAGAATTTTGCATATTCTTGTGAAAACAAATTGGTTGGCAGTTTAAGGTCAATGGTGAAGGAACGGTGCTTATTGCAGGATTTTGCACAATAACATGGACTAGTTAGGTGTCTGGGCCAGCATTCACTCTTTATGTACGTGCACTGTCTGTGGACAGTGATGCGTCTTCACCAAGCTGTTGATTCTAAATCAAGAGGTATCAATTAGGTATAGTTCATGATAAAATATTTTACCGAAAACCAAACGGAGAGACAAAGATGCTATTAAAAGTGAAACAAGACGCCAAGAAAAGAAATGGCCCAGTTCTTCCAGTCCTTGGATAGTCAGATTCTGGATATACCCTGTAAGATGCACATCAGGATGATGTGGCATTGCAAGGGCAGTTACCTGGTGTCTATAACCCTGTGGAGAAGTCAATAATTTGATTAAGAACTTCAGAGGGCTAAGGCTTACTTAATTCATCAGGAAAAATTAGCGAAGTTAATGTCAGTAAAATCATGAGGGGTATAGATAGGGTTAATGGTGGATGTGTATTTCCTAGGATGGAAGATTTCAAGACTAGGGACATTGTTAAGATAAGAGGAGAGAGATTTAAAAAGGACATGAGGGGCAATTTTTTTTACACAGGGTGGTTCGCGTGTGGAACAGACTTGCGGAGGAAGTTGTGGATGTGGGCACAATTACAACGTTTAAAAGATGTTTGGATAGGTATGTGAACAGGAAAGATTCTGAGGGATGTGAGCCAGGAGCAGGCAGATGGGACTAGTTTAGTTTGGGATTATGTTCTACATGGACTGGTTAGACCAAAGAATCTGTTTCCATGCTGCATGACTCTATGGCCAAATAAACCCCCTTGACTCCATTGCGACCTGTCCCAACTCCTAACCCTCCCAATCCACAAGACAACACCTCTTGAACGATTGATTTACAGTCCTCACCTCAATTAACGCCTCACCAACCTGGCACTATCCCACTTAGGTTTTACATTTGCCTTCTCTCAGCGCTGTTTAAGTGGCTGCAGGACCTTTAAATCTTGGAATACAAAGTCAGTGTCAAGAAAAGGCGTGGTGTCAACACCAGTGAACTCTTCTGTTTCCCTCATTGTAATTTGGTCACGCATCTATGCATCATATCAGAGATAGTAGGAACTGCAGATGCTGGAGAATCTGAGATAACAAGATGTAGAGCTGGATGAACACAACAGGCCAAGCAGCATCATGGGAGCAGGAAGGCTGACGTTTCGGGCCTAGACCCTTCATCAGAAGATTCTGGTCAGGAAGTTTACTTGGTGAACTCCTTTTTTTAAAATCTGATCAGGGTTGGAAATAACGTTTCAAACCCTGAATGGATCTGGGCTGAGGCTTTTAAAATTCCAACACTGATTAAATTCTGAGGACACAGTACAGTACTTCAGAATGGCAAATTCAAATTTCCAGTGCCCAAAAGGATTTATTTGGCAGTAATTACAATGCACCACCCCTTGCCTTTCTGCTATGTTTAGTGTATAAATGTGGCAATTCACACCTAGTGCTGAATTGATTAGCAAGTTACAAATAAAGCACAGATTAGGAGGAACAGGATAGTGTGCGCAGCAACTTCCTGTGTTTAGCTGTGCCTGTGTCAACTTCAAAGGTTTCCAATTGGTAAACTCCACAATAACAGGCCCAAAAATAGAATGAATAAAAAAAATTAGGAGTGCAAAACTACTTTTTCTGCATTATCATAATGATTATACTTCAAAGGAAATTTTTTGCCATATGGTGGATTGCCATGTCCTAGCGTCATGGAAAGAAGCATCGTAGTGCAAATTCTTTCTTCAGTTGCGCCCAATCCCACCTCGTGATTATAGAACTGCAAATAATATAATGACCAGGATATGGCTGTGTAAGTAACAATAAGGCTAACAGTGCTCTCTGTTAACACTCTGAAAATGAAATAGCAGCTTGACGAGCTACAGATATGTGGTTAAATGCACAAAAATAAAGGTGGTATCTGGGGTGTCATGTTCTTCTGTCAACTTCTATAAAGACACTTCTCACTGTCTGATATGGCATTCAGCTACATTGAATGACGTTGAGTTGCTGTATTTACCCACAGTTAGGGACTAACAGATCAAAATACACTATAATCACATGTCATAATGTAAGGACTATGTTAATCAGATGTTAACTGCCAAATAACCACTCGGAAAATTTACAAGTCTGTCGTCTCGTTTCTTTAGATTTTAATTATTTATAATTTTAAAAAGTGCTTCTTTACTTTTTCTGCCTTTTTTTTAATGTCACTCTCTTCAACTTTTTCTCTCTCATTTTTGTGCTCTGTATCTGATTTGAAATGGAGTTCAATTTTCTAACTGTGACTTTGTGATTCAGACTGTGTGGCTCATTACAATGGTTCATTTTGACTGGTTACAAAGATGCATGGTTACTTAACTGTTCATTAGGATCGTGCATTTTCGAGATGTCCAGCTGGCAGAAATTTCCAGTGCTGTAGCCCCAGAAAGCCTGTGGACAAGTGCAAACGTAATGAATGACTTGTGCCGTTTGTGCAATGCTCAGAGCTCTGTCTTATGTCAGATAGCATTTAACTTTGAGAATTATTATAAATGTGTACTTGATTGTCAATATTTAGCACAAACATAGATGTGCTTGCAAAGATCACGACTGCAGGAAGTGAGTTTTAGCATTTTCAGAAAGTGTGCCACGTAGGAATTTTGATAGCTAGATATTTTACTTGGCGTTATTACTATATATTAGCATTGCTGCTTTACAGTATTGGACAGCAAAATTGAATGACAACATGATTTCATGCTTCTATCACCAAGGTGAAATATATTAATTGATGCAGCTAGTTTTTTAAGATACAGCAACAAGTGTATAAATCATATCACTGAGCTTGATGTGCCATGATTTATTTATGCAAAATGCTGAAGGTCTGCATAGGCTAGTGCCATTGTGGTGACAAGCAGTGGAATTGGCTTTAAAAATATTATTGTTCAAGTTCAGTGATAGTGTTGTTCTGGAAACACACATTTTGTGTTGCCATTCATTTTCAAAAATTGAATAATGTCCTTGCTGCACTAGAAAATATTTCCTTCATTCGATTTTCTTCAAATTATTTTCCAGATCTTTGAACGCATTCTTTTCATATGGGCGATAAGGCATCCTGCCAGTGGATATGTTCAAGGAATAAATGACCTTGTCACACCTTTCTTTGTAGTCTTCGTTTTTGAATATATTGGTAAGTTTCAGGAACTGATTGTACCACCTTATTTTTGTATTTATAGGTCTTGGGTTAATGAAGCAATGCAGCAGGCAATGTATATCTGATCCTTTGAGATTATAAGGAATAAAATATTTGTCATAATAATTTCAGAAGATCATTTTTATTTATTTAAATAGAAATAAATATGGTTGCACTATGTTGGGGAAAGCATCCTTTTTAAGTGTTTTAAGCGTAAGTTAACATTGAGGTATCTGATACAAACCCAATTCCACTAAAAGCTCCCTATGCCCTCTTTATTGAGTCCTCGTTGTTTTGCATTATTAGAATTAACAGAAAAGGACGATGTGCCCTTGAGTACCTTGAAAGAGCATTTCTCATTTACTGATTTACAGGATGATGCTTCTCCCTCGTTTCCTTTCATTTTTGACATCGTGGGAGGCCTTAAATTGCTTTGCAACTAATGATAGCTTCTGGCTAATCATCTATTCAGTAGGGAAGGGTCTGACTCTGGAGGACCTCTACATTTCTCACTCCAACTTTCATTTACATCTGGAAATGTTCTTAATGAGTCTGCATTAATTGATTGTATCATGTTTTATTTTACTTGTTGAAATATAATTAAAAATACCAGATCAGCTAAATGTCATGTAAATTTTTAAAAATGTAAACTGGAATGGTGTTTTAATGTAAAGTTGTGGAACGTAATGCTTACCAGTTCGAATGATTAATTCGTGCTTGCAGTGATTTGAGCATGCCTAAAAGATAACTGATTTTAGCTTCAAAGATTTGGTAATTTCCAAGGCCTGCCAAGCTATTTCTGAACCTTTTCCTGTACAGTGAGTTGCTCAGCCTAAAGTCTAAATGATGTGGCACTAAAGCACACAGAGACCACCGAGCTATTTATTACTGAGTGAACTTGACTAAACGCAAGCTAAATCTGGCTTTTGGTGATGGAAATAAATTGGAGTTGTCCATTCTTTTGATAATGAAAAACTAGATGGAAATTATTGTGATGAAATATCAGTGAACCCCTCTTGCACTGCAATCCAAACACCACTTCAACATCAGATTGCTTTCTTCAAAAGGGTATTCTAAGTTGACAGAGGTCTACAGTAATATGATTTTGTTTTAGAAAGGTGGTGTTCTAATGTTAAACTGACAGTACCCTTGAATCAGGAGTGATCTCACTCAGCAAGTAGCCAGATTAACCATTGTAATTCGATCGTACAGTATGTCAAAGACTTTAAAGAAAGACTTGCATTTATATTAAATGCAATTTCTTCCAGAAATAACCCAATTCATTATATATTCAAAGAATTGTTTTGAAGTGTAAGAACTGTTACATTAACAAAGCAGATCCTGCACTTTCGCCTTACTTTAAAATTTTGAGTTGGTTTGTTCTCAAAGAATTTTATCTAATGTATGTCTAAAACTATACTAGCATTCAAGCCACCTGTGGTATGGTAACTCCTCCCTTTGCTCACAAGGTGATCTGTCCTGAGTTTCTGGTTTCCTTGAGTAAAATTGTTGACTTTTTTGGCATTTTAAATTTTTGTATTGCAAGTGGTGATTAGGGAACAAGATTCATGATTAAAGCTTTGCTCAGGTGGGAATTTGAAGTGCTTACTGTTTTTAAAGTTGCTCACTGCTTTTAAAGAGCCTGTTCATAAATAGCAAATTGAGAAATGTTTTGAAGGATTAGTATTTTGTGTAACATGGCGCAATGCTGGACAGATGATGAAAGAATAGCATATAAGTTTCAGTGATCACAATATGATTAATTATGAACTATTTACTATTCAAAGAATGATTACAGCTTTCTGGGCTACAGAAAAGGAAATAGAAATTGAACAGGAATGGTTAAACGAAATAATACTTAGGTCAAAAGTAGAAACATTATGGATAGCTGAAATCTAGGAACAAAGAAATAGAGATATGAGAAAAAAATCGCTGTTTAATTGGATGAATAAATTTTTTCAAATTTCAGGTTTCTGTTTCTTGGAAGAAATCCATCAATTCCCCATGTCACCTGACCCTTTCATGGTCTTACAGCTCCATAATGCCGAAAGCTTGGCCTATCTGAGTCTGACCTTTATTTCATACTCCTTCATTCCATCATTGGATGAATACCTTGAGTCAAATTCCTCCTATCTATTGGAGCTGTTTTGAGGTGATATAGTCTTCTCAATTCTGTGCACTTCTTTGAAACAAATGTTTAAACTTGTCTCTGCAGCCACATTTTTCATTTTAGTTCATTATCTCTAGTCTGTGTTAATTCTCTAGTGCCATAGGCTGCACAGTGGCTCACAGCTGCCTCACAGCACCAAGGACCTGGGTTTGATTCCAGCCTCGGGCGACTGCCTGTGTGGAGTTCCCATGTTCTCCCTGTTTCTGCGTGGGTTTCCTCTGGGTGCTCTGGTTTCCTCCCACAGTCCAACGACTTGCAGGTTAGGTGGGTTGTCCATGCTAAATTGCCCCATAGTGTCCAGGGATGTGCAGGCTGGGTGGATTGGCCACGGTAATTGCATGGTTGCAGGGATATGGTGGATCTGGCTGAGATGTTGTTCGGAGGGTTGGTGTGGACTTGATGGGCTGAATGGCCTGCTTCCATACTGCAGGGATTTTCTGTTTCTTTGATATGTGAAATAGCTTGGGATGTTTTCTACATCAAAGGAATTCAGTTTTGGACAAATGTGAACAAATTTGACTTAGATGAATTTATATTTCAGTTTTCAGTATCCTTCAGGTGACACAGCGGATTGATTGCTCGCTGTCGTCTTGATATTGGCAAAGTGAGCTGTAGTTTGTTCATTTTCCTCTGACTGGTGGTCATGGCATGTCAGTTGATCCAGTATACAAGTTATCCCATTTTGTGGTGTCAAGAATCATGTTTAAGCCTATTTTAAGCACATAAATTGAGCCCCCTTTGTGGCCAAGATATAGAGTACACACCATTAAGAATTGACCTTTAGTTTTCACTCCAGCAATACAGGTTTTAATCACCTAAGTCCATGTATAGGATCAAGCAAACTGATGTGAGTTGCATTGCTAAGAAGCATCGGTGTTCATGACGTGCCTGCACAGTGCAGATCACATATGGTGGCTAACAAACAGTTATGGTTCCTTCTGCAAAAAGAATGAAGTATAAATCAGGTTTCAAACTGAAAACATAACATTTGCTCACGTGTCAACTAATTATGCTGCGATGAGATAATTCAGTGATGGTGAAAACGTGCAAGAATGGAACAAGTAGTCCACCCTGATGAAGATGTCAAAGACCAAGTGCAGCATCAATACAGTAACCGACCTTGAGAAACACATCGTAATGTTTCTTCAAAAATTATCAGAGTGGTTGTATTGGCACCAGAAATGCAGTGCGTTAGTATACACTTAAGTGGCCTAAATAAAATCCTGAGTCCCACAAGGATTTCAGACCGTTAGCTACTTAGTGTCAGTACTTTATAAAGCAGAAGACCAAGATTGCTCTGAGACTACTAAAAGACTCTAAGCCTGAATGACTTGTTCCCAGCAGTTCCTCATAAGAAAATAAAAGCATGGTTATTCAATATATTTTAAGTGCAACATTAAGTCTTGAAAATATTTTACCACAGAGTTGGTCAAGCTTCAAGTTGTGAGTTAGGTGAGATTTTGTGAACTCGGAGGAGTACAAGAAATTAATTGGAACGGAAGCACAGAATGAATATTCAGCATTTTACTGAATGAATGTCGCCAAATGAGCAAAAGAAAATAAATCACATGCAGAATCTGAAAAAGGTGCTTGCTATTCTGCACATTGACACAAAATCTTCATTGGATATTTTTCACTGCTTCAGCACCGAATAGAATAGAACAGAACGTGGAATCCCTACAGTGTGCAAGCAGGCCATTTGACCCATAGAATCCACACCAACCCACCAAAGAGCATCACAACTAGACTAACCCCCCACCTATCCCTGTAATCCTGCACTTCCCATGGCTAATCCACCTAGTCTGCACTTCCCTGGACACGAGGGGCAATTTAGCTTGTCCAATTTACCTAACCTGCACACCTTTGGATTATGGGAAGTAACTGGACTATCCGGAATAAACCCATGCAGACATAGGGAGAATGTGCAAACTGCACACAGACAATCACCCAAGGGTGGAATTGAACCCGGGTCCTTGGCGCTGAGAGGCAGCAATGCTAACCACTAAGCCAACATGCATGAGCAAATTGGTCATCAATATTTTTGAACTCAAGCAAGGTACTGCGGATGCTGGTAATCTGAAATCGATAAAATGTAACTAAACTGGTTTGGCAGCATCTTAAGGGAGAGAAAGAGTTAATATTTTGACTCCGTATTACTCCTCAGTACATTTTGGATGCTTTGACCTTGTCTGAAATATACATTCCAAGACAGAATTATTTCAACAGAAGCATTAGAGTTAGAAAATGTAGCCCTATATAGTTAAATGGCAATCTTGCCTGAAAATTCACTATTCTTCATATGTAATAAAAGAGCACTAGAAGTGCTAATTACAGGTATCCTTTTTAGCCAGTTTGCCATGGAAACTGTAAGTTTCTCAACAGTATGTCTGTCATTCATTGTTTGACATTACAGTGAAATTTCATTGTGCTCATCAGTTAGTGAACTGTTAGCATGAGCAAAGTGCTTGGTTTATACTTGATTCTGATAAATGGCAAATGATAAATGAAATGATGCATTAGGTGTATAAGTGTAATGACTTTTTTTTTTGCTGCATAAAGCTTCTGTCTAATTTTGTAGTTGCAGATGAAAGCAAGTTAAGGAAACCGGTGCATGAGTGATGCTCCCTCTGGTCAATCTTTCATTGAGTCCCACCCTACCCTATCACTTGCTTTCCCTTGAATTTTCTGCAGCGTGAGCCACTTAGAAGGTTTGTCAATTGTGGATAATCTACCTGGTCTATTCACAATATAAATAATTGGAAGATATTCAAATCTTTGCAGAGTGGATGTAGGAAACAATCTAATATCACCTTCGTACTGTCTAGCGATTAGTGTCAACATTATGCTGCAGTCCTTTTTCTCTCTCTCCTCTCTCCTCTCTTCAACACCAGCCAATATCATCTCACACCCTTAACCCACCCCACCATCCTCCAGTTTAATCTAATGTGATCTTTTAATACGTTAAAAGTGTTATAGAAATAAGTTGTTTATGAACTTAAGTAGGAAATTTTGAGAGAGGCGGTTATAGAGTTGGGAAGTGGCAGCTTTAAATTCTCTCAATGAAGTGAAGTGCTGAGTTTCAAACGTGGTTACTGCACATTTGGCGAGGGTACAAAGAAAGCCGGGAAAATGGCTGACCGGAAAACATAAGTTTGAGCAAAGATTGGAGAAACTTTGAGAAAGTTTGCATTATCATTAACGTAGAATTTGGGAAGTTTGAGATG